TCTGTGTAGCTTTGTGCCTTTCCTGGAACTCACTCTGTAGCCCAGGCTGGCCTCGAACTCACAGAGATCCGCCTGCCTCTGCCTCCCAGGTGCTGGGATTAAAGGCGTGCGCCACCACCACCCGGCATTGGGTTCCATTTCTAGCACCCATGTGGTGCCTTACACATATCTGTTGCTGCGGTTCTGGAAGATAATGCCCATTTCTTCTCTCCATAGCCACTGCACACAACGTGGTGTAATTGCATATTTGTAGGAAAAACATTTATATGGGTAAAATACCAAAAAATGAGACTTTAAAAATAATAAACCATTAGCGAAAGCAAAGATATGTGTGACCAGAATTTAATATGAGGTTGGCCAAGACTATTTGCTCTGCATTGAAGATCCAGTCTGAAAGAGAAGATCCTGCAGGTGCTTTGAGAAAACTTCCTCAGGGCACAGTTGCTTTTCGATAAGAATGGTGTGCGCCGGGCGGTGGTGGCGCACGCCTTTAATCCCAGCACTCGGGAGGCAGAGGCAGGCGGATCTCTGTGAGTTCGAGGCCAGCCTGGGCTACACAAGTTGCTTTTGGCCATGGTGTTTTTCATAGCAATAGAAACCCAAACTAAAAAAAAACCAAAAAAAAAAAAAAAAAAAAAGAATGGTGTGCATAGTGGTTGTTTTGTCAGGTGCACTGCTGTTCTTTGAGTACCTGGCTGGCAATGAAGACAGCCAGTGTAGTCCACAAACAAAGCAGCAATTGCTACCCAAGCTCAGGTCTCAGTAAACCCTGCATTCACCTCTATCGGGTTCCCCTATCAGCTTTCCCAGTCTACTAACCCAATCTTCATGCAAAGAAGTCAGAATTCACACTGTACCTACATTAAGTTGTCCCAACCTAGGCCAGTCAGGTATGGTAGACTTCTCAGCTTACCCTGACCAATTAGGAACTAAGTAAGAAACCAGGTTGTGTCTGTAATCAAGCAGGTAAGCCATATAGGGCACTGGAGGAAATGGGTTTAAACATGAGGTATCAGTCTCTACCTAATATCTTACCAGGACATTAGTCCCTATGGAAATATTCTAACGTTCAAGAAAAAAACCCAGAACAGTACAACTTGCAGAGAACACAGATGCTACTATTCCTGCCACACACTTCATGCATGCAAAGCAGCATCCAATTACCAATATGCATTTTTTCACAACTGTGAAGGGGCCAGAAAGTCCAGGTGTGCTGAGACATAGAAGCACAGCTTGTCCCTCAAGGTGTCCTGGGTTTGATCCTCAGTGCTGTGTAAACTGGGGTATCGTGGCACCTTGCATGCCAGGGGTTAAAGGTCATCCCCAGTCTTAGGCATGTCCAAGCCAGCCTAGGCTGTGACACGAGATGATGGGTGAAAGCCACAACCTCCACCACAAAACCCAGAAAAGAGCCCACCTGCTACTAGTTCCAGTGAAACCTTATAGAAGGAGTCTATATGCAGAAACAAAGTGGATGCATGTCAAAATTGGGTTCCATTTTAACATGGATCAGTCTAGTGAGAACTGGTGGGGTGCATCATCACTATGAAGACCATTTATACACATGCAGGGCCACACAGACTGCTAAGGCCTCCTGTCTACTACGGTCTCCAGTCAATGTCAGGCTATCACTCAGGGTCTTTGACCACATCATTTCAAAGACATGCTAAACTCTGTGCCTGAAAATACTTCCCAGCACAGAGGGTCAGATTCCGTGTTTGCTGGCGATGTGAGCAAAGGGAGCAGATACATAGATCTGCATCCACTCACTGCATTATACAGTCACAAGTGACAGCAGTGTGACTTCATGGCATCATTTCTTAACTGCCTGATGTTTCAGAATGTGTCTGCCTTGAGGCATGGTCTAAGGAGGATTTTGGTTAAGGGGAGCTAGCACTGTTGGTTTGTCCTGCCCCCGGATGGGCTGTGTGGGGCAGAGATGACTGTAGTGTGGAAAGTGGACTTCGCTGAGGGAGGGATCAGCATGGAAGATGCACACTCACAGCCTCTGCAGTTCTCTCAGCTGGGCCAAGCCAGGCTACACAGATGACTTTGAGCTAATTGTCATCAGGAAAGGGGTAAGGGGACACACAGTCCATTAAATGACCAGAGCGCCATGCCTCTTGTCCTGTAGGTTGACGTTGGAGGTGTGTCCAAAGTCCGTCAAATGAAGGGAGGCGGCTTTTAGTCTCTGTTACCACCTGACGACCGCTTGGAATGACTTGCAGCTGAGCCACTGTGTGGTCCCCTGCCAGTGTCGTCACCCTGTCGTTAGGCACGTCCACAGACAGCTGACAGAGGGAAAGTGGAACTCCCCGAGATCCCTCACACCACTGACCATGCAGGGAGCGGCCGCTTTTGTGTCATGGACGGAAGCAGGATTTACAGCCCTGTCTTAATTTTTTCCTGTTAGGTGGCTGGGTTGCATTGACATGAAGGTAACTAAAGAAGTCCCCTGAGGTGAGAAGTAGCAGGTACGGATAGAGCTTGCATGCCTCCCTCCCTGGAGGTGATACAATATGCTTCCCAAGAACTGGAGACATCACGGTTGTGTAAAGGATAAAGGGAAGAGCCAGTGCGCACTGCCCAAGGCCATGCGAACCCCGTCTTCGGTTCCAGCCATTGCGGTCTAGCTAAATCTTTGGCACTTAGCAGGCCCCACAGAGGACTGCTGTGGAGTTGGTGCTTGTCTTTCAGGCTTTACATTCATTGGGTTTTGGTTGTTGCTGGCTTGTTGTTGTTCTTTTCTTTGTTGTTGTTGTATTTTAGGTTCATTGGGTTTAAAAAATGAGACCTCAGTAAAGAACAAAAGTTAAGAAATGAGTGCTCGGGAGAAGTGTCACCTTTGACAGAATGGAGAACTGAGGAACTGCATAAATTTACCTCTATTCAAGTGTCTGTTAAAGCTATTTGCATGTGGTGCCCTGCCCACACCCACAGACACACTGCTCTGCCCTGTCTACTCTTCCATCCATATACACTGAGCCCTTCCCTACACCGACCATGGAATGCATGTATGCAGTGTACACTGGTCTCTGTGATCTTCCAGAAGCATCACTGGAGCAGAAGGGTGTACTTCAAAAAAGAATGACATCAATATCCAAACACAGAGCAGTTATGAGTCTTCCTGGTTTTCTTCATGGTATTCAAGTTCACTTAACTTTTTTCTGTTTTATGTCATTCCAGTTTTGAGCATGATAAGAAGGCTGCAGTTTACCAGAAAAGACTCCTTACCACAAGATGCTGCAGCCGCAGCACAGCATCAAACTAAAGAACAATGCAGCATCATCAAAGAAGGCACTCTCTAAATGGAATGACCACATGAGCCGTTCACAGTGGTTGTAGAGGACACTGAATCTCACATGTAAAATGCATGATGTCTAACACTACACTTGACTGGTTGAAAGTGTGACTTTACCTAGCTCATCAGCAGAACAACCACCAAAGACTTTTCAAAGCATTTAAAATGTTCATTTAGCTTCTAACTGTGTACCACGAAGCAGAGGAAAACTGAGGTTGCTCTCATAGGAGGCAGTGTGGCTTCACCGCTGCAGACAGCAGCTTGTGTGTGAGTCACTCTCTCTACTGACTTTCTTCCAGACCTTGAGGAGTTGCAGGACATTGATCCCTAGGAAGACAATAAGAGCCAGGAAGATCTGGCAAGTGTGTGGAGCCTCCAAAATAAGGAAGTGGGAAAGTAAATCACATGGACTCCCTGGTCGGGGTAGAACAATGGTGAGATTCTATGACCAAAAGCCCAACAAGAAACAATTTGAGGTAGATGGGGTTTGTTCTGGATTATGGTTCATGTCCTGGCAGAGAAGACAGGGCAGTGGACAGAGACGGTGTGGGCAGAGGTCCAGGGAGCAGACTGGTCACATCGCATCCAGACTCAGGAAGCAGAGAGCAAACAGAACTGGGCTCGACTCTTGAACCTCTCGTCTTCCTGCAGTTCTCACGTCCTTCAGGGAGACTCCACCTTCTAAAGGTTCCAGACTCCTCCCTACGGCACCCCCAGCTGAGTTCAGACACAGGAGACTGTATGAAAGGGGAGGCACTCCTCCTTCAAAACCAGAACATAAGGCTTTAACTTTGTCATTTTTTAGACTTACTAGCCTTAAAAAAGAGTCGTTACAAAATGTTGTGTCATCATGCCAAGGACAGAGAACTGTGGAGTCACCCAATTTTCCCTGTGTCCATGTGGCTTCTGAAGCAATTTCAATGCTGGCCATGAAGTATACCACACTGCACACTCCGGATTCTGAGAAGCTGCTGACTGTGAAACTGTGCTGTTTAGCTGTGGGATAGTTGGCCCCATACAGTGAGGACCATTTTCTGTGTAAATCCCCGACTTCTGAAGCCCGTAGAGAACAGTGATCAGGGAGAATCTGAGCTAACATAGCCAAGGGCAGGTTTTGTCAAAGTCTATGTAGATTTTTGTAAAAAAAAAAAAAAATCCAGTGCTGGCAGGAGTGTTGATTATCAACATTGGAAATGCCCACACTTTGTGAGTATTGAGTCAACACTCCCACCCGCTCTGAAGCCTTAGAAATGCTGAGAAATACAGTTTATAGTATATAGTTTATAGTAAATATAGTATGGCGGGAGCTCCTGAGGTTTGTGAGCTACACACTGTAGGACAGTGACATGTTAGTATCTGGTATCAGCTTCCTTAATCACTGTGCATGTTCAAAATCTAATATCACTATCTTTCACTGTTCAATAAGCTATTGTTGTATATTATAGAATGAATAGCTAACTATCATTATGTTTTATTATTTTTATGTATGAGGATGTTTTGCCTAAATATATTTTTGTGTACTATGGCTTCCAGGGAACCCATAAAAGAACATTGGATGATGCCGAGTCAGGAGTTACAGGTGGTGCTGAGCCACAGTGTTGTTGCTTGGTATTGAACCCTGGTCCTCTGGAACAGCTAGCAGGTGCTTTTATTTATTTATTTTTTTATGGGTAAAAGTATTTATTTAATTTATTTTTTTGCTTTTTTTATTAAGAAATTTTTTTTATTAATTTTACATACCAATCACAGATCCCTCTCTTCCCTCCTCCCACTCCTCCAGTCTCCCCTCCTCCAATTCACCCCCCATTCCCTCCTACAAGAAGCTGAGGCCTCCTATGGGGAGTCCCCAGAGCCTGGTACATTCAGTAGAGGCAGGTCCAAGCCCCTCCCCCTGCCTCAAGGCTGTTCGAGGTGTCCCACCATAGGTAGTGGGCTCCCAAAAGCCAGCTCATTCACCAGGGATGGATCCTGATCCCACTGCCAGGGGGCCCTTATGCAGATCAAGCTACACAACTATCTGACTTATGCAGAGGGCCGAGTTTAGTCCAGTGGAGGCTTCACGGGTGTTGGTCTAAATTTCATGAGTTTCCCCCTAATTTGGTTTGGTTGTCTCTGTAGGTTTCCCCATCATGAGCTTGATGCCCCTTGCTCATGGAATACTTCTTCTCTGTCTTCGACTGGACTCTTGGAGCTCGGCCTGGTACTTGGCTGTGGATCCCTCTGGCAGGTGTTGTTTGTTTTCTTTTTTGAAAGAGCATACATGAGATAGAGAATCTATTTTGACATAGAGAATTGAGATAAAAGGAACATATATCATGCAAACAATCTGAAGCTTTAAGAATTTGTATGTCTGAAATCACAGAGATTCAACGCAATAATGTCATTCATTGGATGAAAAGATCAGGCTTCATCGACAAGCAACAGTCGTTCAAAACGCTGAACGTTCTTTCTAGCACTGGGGAGACAGTTCAGCTAGTCATGCACTCACCTTGCAGGCATGAGACCCTGACTGTTGTCCTAGAAGCTCATTGAGAAGCTGTGCACTGGGGGAGCAGTTGGAATTTTCAATCCCCTTTTCAGCTCAGGCTCCGTGTCCAGGCAGCCTAGCCTGCGTGTCATATTGTGGGTCATTGACCAACTTTCTCAGAAAAGAGAAAATGGGGGACAGTGCCTGAGGAATGACACCAAGGTGCTCCTCTGGCCAGCACACAGGAACTTGCACCCACACGTGTGCACCATGTACACACTAACACACACTCTGTAACAGTCACATACAGCTTTACTTCCTCTGCACACAGCCTTCAGGAATAAGTCTGTCAGCTTTAGTCACACAGGTGCTTTCTAGAAGGCTTCCTGAGTATGAACAAGAGCAACATCTTCAGAGGGACACAAGAATCACAACTCTTCAAAAACAGGAAACAAAACAGGGTCCACACAAATAATATGAGAAATAATTAAGTGATTTTTGTAGTTGGTATTGATGAAACAGGAGGGAAAACATGAACCAGAGGAAAGTTCTTGAACCGTGCTTCACCTGGCACAGGCAGGAATGATGGAGCCAGTGTCTCTTCTTCTTGACAAATACAGCAGTTATGGCACATTGGGATCTAAGGACCCTGAAGAGGGGGGAGGAGAATGGGGTAAAGTCAACACATCCCTGTGGGATGCAGTGAGTGGGACCAGGAGCAGCCAGGTCACACCTTGTGCTCCAGAGGCCGAGGGAGCAGAGAAGGGGTGAGACACTGGAAGTGTATGTGCTTTGCCTTTCAGTGCATTAGGGTGAGAGGTGCTGGCCGTGGACTCTGCTGCGCTTGCTGGAGGCTCCGCCATTGAAAGATGACCTTTGTCAGAACACCTGCCGTCTCCCACAGTTCTAACCAGCGATTTCAGAGTCCTGTGCTTTCAATTCCTAGAGCCACAGTCTCCCTCCACAGCCAGGTGCTACCCCAGCCCTGCCTTCCATGATGCTGGCGTCACCAAGCTTAGCAGGTAGTAAAAGTTTTCAACTATTAAGGGACTGGTTTTCCCCAAATCTGTCTTGTGATTCTCCAGCGTGGCCTTCACGTCCAGTGATGGTCACAGTCCCCAGCTTTCATGAGCCATCTGAAAACAACCTAGTGTTTCTGTGATTGACAACATGCCAACACTTGACTCAGCCATTCTCCTGCTCTCATGGGCATTGCTGGCCCCAGGTCCCAAGCAGCCTGGCACTTGTAGATTTCTCAGGGATGGTAGTGTGATTACTAATGGACACATGTGCAGCAATATCCTCTGAGCAGGACAGCTACCATCTTCATGAATGGTACCAGCTCCATCTGTTTGTAAGAGGTAATCAAGGCTGGCTTTGATGACACACTTTCACGGAATGTGAGGGCATCAGGAGTCATTGTACTCTCAACTGTGTATCCGGTCACCCCTCCAGCCATTTGTGTGAAAATTAAATCTAGGAGGAAAATTAAATCCTTCATGAGTATAAACATTAACATTGAACTTTACATCGACTTGGATTAGGATTATCATCTGGGTCCCATCTAGCTGAGGCATTTCCCATTCAAAATGTCAAAGTTTGAATGAACCAGCAACCCCTCTCTATGGTACTCTAGCACTCAAAAGGATGTAGAATTGTGTAGAATTTTGAACTATGGAACTCAACCTGTCAAATCACCAGTCAGGAGTTGAAAGATATACTCTCTTGATGTTCCTGAGCCGAGTGAACTCTGCTCGCAAATCATCCAGGCTATAGAGACTAGGATAGACAATTGTCTTATGACACTAGATATCCAACACACTTATGAGGGAAATCAAAAAGCAGACAAGTGCAGCCCACTGATACTTGGAGGCTCACAGACTAATGTTGGATAATAGAAATAATAGTAATCTCAGTGAGTTTTTTTGCACTGATGGGCCCTAGCTGAGGGACAAGGCAAGCCTTAGTAGCACTGATGAATAATCTCCGAGAGCGTCGATGTGTTGGGCACTTTCTTTCCTTTTGCAGTCTTTTCCTTCCCAAACTTGTGGTCGGGGAAAGGGCCTGCCTTGAGAAAGTACAGAGCAAGGGCTCCCACAATACCCACTGAGCTGGTAATTAGTTTTGGGATCATGAGAATGCGCTTTACATTTAAATTCTTATTTATCAAGGGAACAATTTAGAGGCTGGGCACAATGCCGATGATATTATTATAACAAACTCTCTCAGGCAAGATATTCTGGGCTCCTGATTGTTAAAACTGTGTTAGATCATATCCTCTGTAAGGAAGGGGACCACATTTTGCTTCACCTTCTAGTTCAGACTGTAAAAGTGCAAGCTGAGGTTGAGAGTTTTAGGCTTGTTCTGAAAGGTTTGGCTCACCACCATGAGTATGCTCCATTTGCTCATATACGAAATCTGTCAGGAGTAAATAACTTAGAACATGGGCTATTTCCACACTTGTCTGCCGTTGCCCTGGGAGTAACAACAGCACATGATGGAATACTAGCAGGTGTCACCGTACGAGAGCAATATCAACAACTACGAGAAGCAGTTGGTGAAGTTGAACGTAGGTTACAGGAGCAGCTGAGGAGCAAGAGATTCATCAGTTAGGTCTAGATCAGGCTGAAGCCAAGGTTTTGCTTGACTTTCATAAGAAGAAGCATGCAATTGGGAATCAACAAGCTGAAATTATCCTCACCACAAATCAGGAGAAGCTTCAACAATTAGCTGCTTCGATAAGCAACAATAATCAAAGAGTCACATTGAGCCCAGGGAGTTTTGCAGCTTCAGCATCTCTTCAAGCTCCTTGGGTTGCTCCAGTTGCTGTTCAGCCTCAAAGGAGGGCAGGGATTCTGGAACCAGATTCTGAGGATCTCCAGGGTCAAGATATGGAAGACAATGACCCAAGCGAATTATCAGATCATGACAGTACACCCACACAACATTCTATGTTTCAAATCCTGGATGCTGAGTCTGAAAGTAATGAAGATGAAGGGCACTTGCTCTGTGAAAAACCCAGACCCAAACTTTCACCTGAGATCTTGCAGACCAGGCAATTCAACAGTGAGCCAGCTCAGATCAAATATACTGCAGAACCACCTCCCTCCCCACCAAGAACTCCCATGGGAGATCCCCGCAGCAGACCGACCAATCCCAATTAGTCCCTAACTCTCCAGGGTCATGGGCAGAGAGAGCCTCAAACCAGCAAGCAATGCTCTCCCACAGCTCACAGCCATGAACCCTTGGCCACCATATTAGAGTCCCTCACCCAAGACTGGTCATCACTCATGCCAACTGAGCCTCCTTTACCCCACCCACTTATCCAATGCGAAGCAGTGACAATTGCCAGTGCCTCAATCCCTCCCCTTTCTCCTTCCAATCCTTTCAGTTCAGTGGGTGCTTCCCCCAAGCAAGAAACAGCCTCCACACCCCCTCCCCTTGCCCTGGACCATCAACAACTGGAGGCCATCAAGACTGAATACCAAAGTCGGGTCAACACCAAAGGGATTCGGGCAGGCTTGTTATTTTATTATAACACAACAGGGCGTGCCTGCAATTTTTCAACTCACAGCGGCTCCATTCTTCAGTATCCAACCAGCTTAACAGGCACAACTATGCCTGCAATGACACCTGAGGGGTGGTATTGGTGATGAAAGTACAGTAACTGTTGATAATCAGGAGCAAGCCTGGAGTGACCTAAGCGTGCAGTCTTGGTTTGCATATTGTTATGAGAATCTCTCATTGCTAGCTATCCATGTATTGACTTGATTGCATTCTTTCAGAGTCCCAGTTGCTTGACTCTGTTTAAGGCCAAGGCGAGGATGCCCGGCAATAGCTCCCAGGCCACCTGTGCAGATGGCAGCTTTCTCAGTCAACCCTCAGGTAAAATCCAGGGAGCCTGTTTAGTTTTCAGACACTTGCCCCTTTCTTTGTAAACATTATCTGTCTGCTGACCAAATTATCTCACACAGAAGCACTATTTTTGTACTATTAAAGTATTAGATCTGATTGTAGGAGGCCTCAGGGATGATGAGGACGAGCCACATAGTATATAGTCTGGGTAGTTTAACTTATAGCAGCCATAGGGGAGCCATCATCAACATCGGATGCAGACTCCCAGCAAGGCTACTTACTCTAGGGCCACTCCTGCCCATAACCCCTCATGCCTGCTCTCTAAGGAAGCCTAGTAAATTAATTTGCCCAGGGTCATAGAGAAGTCCTCCACACCTCTGGTGTGTGGCTAGGAGAACATGTGTTTATTATAGAAGTCTGGCCATAATAAGGCTTCCCAGAAGGTGGGAAGTCCTTGTCAGAGGCAGGTCTGTATGCTGGGCCCTGCCTTTCCATCAAGCAGGGCCCCTCTTTGTTTCTTTCCAGCTGGCCAGAAGACCCCGGGTTCTAATGATACGTGGATAGTCTTGTGCCATCTCACAAGACATCTCACTGGCATTCCTGTCCATCTACCTCCCTGTGAGACTTCAGGCTTTGTTTTACCCCGTCACCCCATGTCAGAGGTATAGCCCTGCTCTGCTCATCAGAGACAGGGAAAGAGGAAGTGAAGCACATGGGTGTAACACAGCCCCAGCCCTTAGTGGAAATCAAGACCAGCTCTTCTCAAGATTGTAATGTCCAGGGGAGAAGCTGTGGCCACTGTCTTAGCAGCCTTCTCTTCTCAGCCCAGACTCACATGGCTTCTAAATCTAGAAGACTAGGCATATACATAGTCTCTTTCTAGTAGATACATCTTGGGGCCATGAGAGTTAGGTGGGGCCTAACCTTTTACCAAGTAGCTGGATTCTTTCCATACATGCTTGCTCCAACTAGGGTTCAGTCTGGGTGTAGAGATGGCCTTAGCCCTGAGCAGCTCAAAACTCCTGGGCACTGTGAATGCCAGAGTGCACCAGGACACTCACACAACCAATGTAAGTATTTTGACCTGGCCTCACACAGATCCAGTGGTGAATGGTGAATGTATGAATGCTGTTGTCTACCTTAACAATCCTGCCTTAGCCTTCCACATTTGTCTCTTCTGGGTTCTTTGGAAGGCTTTGGGAATGCCTCTTAGACATCCCATGTCTAATCTGAATCCCAGCTCAGATCTTCCTACTCCTCTGATCCTTGGAGGATCTTCTTTGTACTCAGGTACCCGCTATAGCATTTAGTGGGTTAGCACAAAGATAAACCTACATGTTTCCCTGCAATGAAGTGACTCAAGAGACAGACTAAACTTTTAGATATCATTCAACTAGCCTCTTTTTGTTGTGAATACATTCCATTTTCAGCTATGGGGAGAATACTAAGTTGGTTTTTTTTTTAATTGTTAAGACACAGAGCTGTAGTTGCCGTAAAGCATCATAATGAAGCACACAATTAAAAGATTGAAAGGACACACCTAAGGAAAGACGTCACCCTTGTCTGCTCCCTGTGGCAGCTGCAGTGTCCTGGGAATCAATCACAGCAATTAGGAATTCAACTCATTCCCAGGCTGTTCTCCTGACCTTCGGGGGCTTGCAGGAACCAGGCAAGGGAGGTCAGAGGACTGCCTGTCTGTCCAGGATCCTTAGACCCAGTGATTGATGACGTGTATGGGCGTTTGGTTCAGCTTCCTCCCCCCTTCAAGTATTCTTGAGTACTCAAGATGCTTGAGTTTTGCTTGCAAGTCCCCCCACCCCAGCTACCACTAAAATTCATAGGGTGAAACTCCTGGGCAGTAGTATGCCAACTCTGGGATTCTTCTTGTAAGCATTACAGATAGGATGGCAAGGTGTCCTGGCAGTCGGGAGCCAGGGAATACCACAAAGTCACACCCCACAACAAACCTCACACAAGATTTATTGGGAGGGAAAAAACCAGGAGGGTGGCTCCCTCTGCTCAAGTGGGAAACAGTGGAAAACTGAACAGGATACAGGGCTTATATAGAGTTTCTTGGGGAGGGGGAGCAGAACTTTTCAGGGTGGAGGTTGGTGGGATTTCATGTCCAGAGATTGGGCTTTTTACTCTGTAGGGTTGGGGCTGGGCCCAGCAGTTAGGGCAGTTAGAGTGTCCTGTGGGTGGAATCTGGCCGTTGGGAGTCCTTGGGGGAGGGGCCTGGCCACTCGTGTGGCTCCAGGGGCTTACACTTGTGGCCTCTGCTTTCCTTATGTTCAAGCTTCACTCTCCGTCCCTGTCTCTCCCATCACCTTGTGTCTGTCTATGACCACTGTCTGTCCTCTGAGTTCTCTGGTACTCAAGTGTACACCATTCTTGGCTAGTTCTGAGCTGTCTCAGTTCTAAGACACCAGATTATACTCTACTCATAATAAATAGAATCCAATCAGCCTTTCCCCTCAACTGTCTACTCATCACAAAATGGAACTGTCTGGGCCACATGTCCTGTGTGTCCTAGGTGCTCCTGCAGCTTTGCAGCATGTCCTGCAGATCCCCCAAAGAACCCACCTCCCAGTCACATCCTTCAGTTACCCTTTCTCTATTACCTCTTACCCAGAGCCTCTCCTGCCTTTCCTGTGGCTCTGGACCATTCTTGGCACTGGTTTCTCTGCCTGGCAGTCCATGGAGTCTTTGGGATCCCTTTCACCCGCCACCATGCTCCAGAACTGTGTTCCTGATCTCATTGTCTATATGCCTTGACCTAAACCTCTGTTGTGTGCTTTCCCAGCCTCAGACCTGACGGGTGCGTTAGTAGCTCTTCATTCACCATCATGATACCTTTCTCCTGAACCCTAGCCCTACTTGACGTCCTCACAAAGCTGCTCACACAGATTTGAGCCCAGTGGTGACAGGACAGAACTGAGCACTTCTTAGGAACATTCCTAGAAAGACAGTAATCTGGGACTTAGTTTGTCATCTGGCTCACTCCTTTTATTTAGATGCAGATATGAAAGGCTGCTGGCAACCTGCTGTCCAAACAGGAGAGCGGCACTTAAGAGCCTGGTGCCCAGAGAAGAGTCATCCCTAGCATGGGACACAGAGAAAGACCCAAGTCAGCCAAAAAATTTTCCCAAACTGCAGATAGCAGTGAAGGATGGGGAAAGAGACACCTAGAGTGGTTGGTCACCTTTGTCCCTCTCTGGAACACCCTGTTACAGGGAGCCCACCAGAGATGAGCACTCAGAGTTTACAGCCGATTGCAAGTCTTTACTCTAGCTGGCTAGGACTACACTTAGGTATCGGGACCCAAGTTCAGTTCTCAGTGTCCAGAGCATGAGGTGTTTGGAGACAGAAATCACATCCTGGCATCGTGCTCAGCAGCTGTGGAGGGACCTCACAGGAGCAGGCAGCCTAACAGAAGCTAAGCTACGTGGTTAGCTGGTGGGGGCCTAAGAAGCAGGCAGTAGAATGGAAGCTAAGTCAAGTGGTTAAGTGATAGGGGTTCCCACCAACTAACTCAACTTCCACGAACCTTTTATTTTTGGAGGATCTTCTTTTTACTCGGCTTTCCTCAGTACCATTTAGTGAGTTAGCACAATCCTAAACCTACATTGTGTGCCTGTGTGGAAGTGACTCAAGACATCGGATAGACTGTCATTGTAAATGCTGTTGAGCTGGCTACCCTCTTTAGGTTGTGAATACTTTCCCGTTTCGGCTGTGGTGAGAAGATTACTTTTGAGGCACAAGTTGCTGGGACATGGTGCTGTAGTTGCAGTAGACTATCATAAGGAAGCCCCAAACGGCAGCGCTTTGGAAGCTGTTGTGGATGTTATAAGATTAGTTTGTTGTTCACCATTGTTATAGATTATACTGCATTTCATAAAGGGGATGATTGTGTCAAGCACTATTTTTTAATGTGTGACTATTAATTTACCTGGCTCATGAGAACTACAACCACAGCATGTATAAAGCTATTTTAAAATGACTTTAAATGGTCTGAATTTCAAGGTGATTGAGAGCACTGGTGCACTCACAGAGGACTGAGGATTCCTAGCACACACGGTGGTCCATAACCATCTGCAACTCCTGTAGCAAGAGATCTGTCA